CCCGACCAAGCGTCTCGATTCAGCCAGGAAACCGTTCCCCCTCCCTGACCCATGTGCAGCCTCTGCCCGTGCAGACTGGAACGGCGATAACGACAGAGTGGCTGTCCGGTGTCCTGCAGCCCTGGGGGGAAGCTTCCCAAACCTGGAACTTGTGTTGCTACATCCAGGACAGGGAAACCCCAGCTCATCCCGGCTCCAGCCCTGGGGCGCAGGCGGGTGGGCAGCCTGGTCCCAGGAACCCTGTTCAATGAATCCATCTGAATCCAACCCTCTGCCCTGACTCCTGCATCATTCCCACTCCCTTCCCTGACAGGTCCTGTTGTATCCATACACCCCCTCACAGCCCCTGCTCTGAGGGCCGGGGGTGGGGGTGTGAGCAATACGACAGTGTCTGTAAGACATTCAAGTTACTCCCCACCCCCCGGAGGTAGGGTGAGGAGGGTCCCAGGCCTGCCTGCCCTTCAGTCCACGTGGGAAGCTGCCCGGGGCAGGTGCAGGGTGTGAGGACGCCCACAGCTGTCCCAGCTTCTGACATGGCTTGTGAGCGGGGTCTCAGTGGGGAGAGGAGGTGCACGGGGTGGGGGCTTTTGGTATTTCAGGGCTGTCCTGGTCCATTCAGGATGGGTTGCCCTGGTTTATTATCCGTGTTGTCCGAAAGTCTCTGCACACGCAGCCTCCCTCGAGCATCCAGTTTGATGGTGTGGCGCAGTGGGGGGGCCTGCTCTGTGACCTGCCCCCCCTCCCCCACACTGGGATGGGGGATTCTCACTGACTCTTCCACATGTGGATTAACCAGACACCCAGGCTCAGCCTCCCAGGGAGAGACAAATGGAGGGGGGCGGAGACCAGCACCTGGCTGGGGGGCAGGGCTGGGAGAGATTTGGTAGTTTCTGTCTGGTATCATGGAGGAAGCAGCCTAAGCAAAGGGCTGGGATTTAGGGGCCCAGTCTCCCCCATCTCAAGGGGGCCTGAGGCATCCTAGGCCTGCTTTGTAACCAGATGACATCTGTGCTGTGCTGTATCCTGGAGAGGCAATAAACTCCCTCTGTTCTACTGGCTGGCGGAGTTGGTCCGTGCCATTACGGGGGTGCAGGAGGCGGGGAACCCCGACACACCACCACAGATGGATTTGCTGAGCAGGGCTCCAGGTGTGAAGCTGGCATGCTGAGGGCCTAGAGGAAAGTTTAAAACAAAAAACAAATAAAAGGAATTTCTTTTTCACACAGCATACAGACAACCTGTGGAACTCCTTGCCTAAGGATGTTGTGAAAGCTAGGACTATGTCAGGGTTTAAAGGAGAACTAGATACATTCATGGAGGTTAAGTCCATTAATGCCTATTAGCCAGGCTGGGTAAGAAATGGTGACCCCAGCCTCTGTCGGTCAGAGGGTGGAGATGGATGGCAGGAGAGAGATGGCTTGATCATTACCTGTTCTGTTCACTCCCTCTGGGGCACCTGGCATTGGCCACTGTCGGCAGACAGGAGACTGGGCAGCTTGGACCTTTGGCCTGACCCCGTCTGGCCGCTCTTATGTTTTAACTTTTGGCTGCTGAACTGAGCTGCGGTTTGAAAGCGTTTGGGTGATTTAAAAGAGCAAATTCAACCACTTTACCTAAAAGAAGGTTTCAAAGTGACTTGTTTATAGTATAAAAATGCCTTCACGGGGAGAAAGTACTTTGGCCTAAAGGAACCCTTACCGCCCCCAGCAGCAACTCCCCTAAGATTTAGTCAGGGACATTTATAACACAAGTTAGGGACAGAGCACTGGCGGTGAATTTTGGTTTATTGCCTTTGACCTCTCCGTGATTTTCACTACAAATGCTGCTGACTCCATCACAGTGGCCTTAAGCTCTGTGAAGGGGGGCAGGGAGGTTTTCTGTAAAATAGCCGCTCTTTGGGGGACTGTCACTGTGTATCAGACAGCATGGATCTCACCTCTTGAAACCTCTTCTATCTTTAGCCCACCTGCAAGCTGAACTGGAGAGAGAGAAAGGTAAGTTCCTGGGACAAGTGCCCTGAAGTAACATTAGGAACAACCCCGTTAACATGCCGGCATGAAACCTCACCTCGCTCTTCTTTTTCTCCTCCAGAGATTCTGCACGCCAAGCTGAACAACGAGAGAGGTACATTTAAACAACCTTCGAGGCTAACCAAAATATACACAATCCTGAGCTTTTCTGGGCAAAGGCCACTTCCTCAGATGAGCTGGAGCAGGGGGAAAAGCTGGTTTTATAATATGCCATCCAGTTCGAGTCTTTGTTCAGGCGTCAAATCTCCAGATGAAGGACAATTCCGCACTGTAGTTGGCTTATGAAATTCCTTTGTAGAAGAATGACCGGCCTTTTGACCCTGCCTCCCTCTGTTCTTAAATCAAACTCCCTGCTCCAAAGGCAGAGCAGGGAGCAGCAGACTGGCTGTGTCTAGACTGGCCAGTTTTTCCGGAAAAATCAGCCGCTTTTCCGGAAAAACTTGCCAGCTGTCTACACTGGCCGCTTGAATTTCCGCAAAAGCACTGACTTCCTACTGTCTGAAATCAGTGCTTTTTGCGGAAATACTATGCTGCTCCCATTCGCGCAAAAGTCCCTTTTGCGCAAAAGTTTTGTGCAAAAGGGCCAGTGTAGACAGCTCAGATTTGTTTTCCGCAAAAAAGCCCCGATCGTGAAAATGGCCATCGGGGCTTTTTTGCAGAAAAGCGCGTCTAGATTGGCAAGGACACTTTTCAGCAAAAAGTGCTTTTGCGGAAAAGCATCCTGCCAATCTAGACGCTCTGTTCCGAAAATGCTTTTAACAGAAAACTTTTCCGTTAAAAGCATTTCCGGAAAATCATGCCAGTGTAGACGCAGCCACTCTGCTGCAGTTCAGCACTGCCTCTGGCGCAAAGGGGTGTGTGTCCAGCAGGCCTCACCTATGGAAATCCTGGGGTTTAGACTTCGGGGAGCCGTCTGCCCTCCCCCCTACCGGCACCCTTGGACGGCGAGCTCTGATCAATCATGGAGCGGGGTCACTGCTCCATAGAGGAGGCTGCTGCTCAGTTTCCATCAGGAGCCTGATTTTCGCCCAAGGGAGGACCCCTGTACAGAGGGGGCGGGTTTGCCTGGGCCAATGGGCCTTTTTACCACTGAATTTGAAGGGGGACAGGAGTCCTGGCTCCTGCTGCCCGGAGAGCAGAGGGGCTCAGCAGAGTCTCCGAGTCTCCTTGTGCTCTGACACAAGCTCAGGGAGAAGGACCCAGCCAATGTTGCCAGGCCCGTGAGCTGAGATCCAGGGGCCAGGGTAAGCTCATTACGAAGCCAACCCTCATCGCCAAGTTCTCAGGCCCTAGACCCTCGCCAAGCTCCCTGGAACTTGGGGGGGCGTGAACTCTACCGCTCAAGGGAGATGTCAGGGAGGGAGTGTGATGGGTGGAGATCTGTGAGGATCTCCTACGAGGAGAGGCTGAGGGACTTGGGTCTGTTTAGTCTGCAGAAGTGAAGAGCGAGGGGGGATTTGAGAGCAGCCTGCAACTTCCTGCAGGGGGGTTCCAAAGAGGATGGAGAGAGGCTGTTCTCAGTAGTGACAGATGGCAGAACAAGGAGCAATGGTCTCAAGTTGCGGTGGGGGAGGCCCAGGTTGGATATTAGGAAAAACTATTTCCCTAGGCAGGTGGGGAAGCGCTGGGCTGGGTTTCCTTGGGAGCAAGGGGAATCTCCATCCCTAGAGGTTTTGAAGTCCCGGTTTGACAAAGCCCTGGCCGGGTTGATTTAGTTGGGATTGGTCCTGCCTGGGGCAGGGAGCTGGACTTGATGCCTCCTGAGGTCTCTGCCCGACCTGGGGTTCTGGGATTCGAGGGTGGAGCTCAGGCCAGGAGCCCTGTGCGGAAAGAGGGCAGCAGAGGGCCCAGGGGGAGGGCAAAGTGGCTCGTGAAAGGCACATTCCCTACCCCGGGAGCGGGTGTAGAACTGACCCCACATACCCACGTCTCTCTCTCTCTTTGCAGAGAAATCCCTGGCGGAGCTTGGTAAGTGCCGTGTGTCCCCTTTACCCGCCGTGCTCGGGCAGCCCGTGAGAGACGGCTCGCCTCTCACCTCTCGCTGTGTTCCATTTCAGGCTGGAGCAAAGTCACCAAATATCCAGGTATGTGAAGCTGGTGTTTCAATGGCAGACCCACACGCTGCCCAGCAGATGCCCAGGGGTCTCAGGCCACAAGAAGAAGCAGGACGGGCAACGAAACTGCCACATTCACCCCCCGTTTCCTTGCACGACACTAATGCTTACCCGGGGTGAAAGCCACTTCCAATTTCTCGCAAGTGCTGTCGTATCCCAGCTCCCGCTGGGGGACTCAGGGTGGGAGGTGGGAGGGAGGCTGCAATTGGACAGAACTGTCAGACAGGCAAATGTCTTCAAGCTTTTCTGAAATCTGGTGAAATCAATATTGGTACCGAGTTGTCCAGCAACAGCCCTTTGGCCAATTCAGTTCAACTGTGGTAGAAAAATTTTACCTCAAATCTGCCAAATTTGCATCGGGCGGGACTCTGTGGGGATGAGAATAAAGGGCTCCCAATTCAGGCCTAGATTGGGAACTCAGGCTGTGTCTACACTGGCGCAATCTTGTGCCAACGTGGCCGCTCTTGCGCAAAAACATGCTGCCTGTCTACACTGGCCGCGTGTTCTTGTGCAAGTAAACTGACGTTCTAATGTATACCATCAGGGCTTCTTGCGAGAGAACTCTGATGCTTCCGCTCAGGAATAAGCCCTCTTGTGCAAGAGCTCTTCCAGAAGAGGCCAGTGTAGACAAGCAACATGAATTTCTTGCGCAAGAAAGTGTCCACACTGGCAGGGATGCTCTTGCGCAAAAGCACATGCCAGTGTAGATGCTCTCTGCTGGAAGAGTTTTTGCACAAGAACTCTTCTGCAAAAGAGTTCTTGCGCAAGAAGCTGCCAGTGTAGACGTAGCTTCAGGCTTTGTCTACACTACGGAGTTTTTCCGGGATACCAAAGGTATCCCGGAAATACTCCCCCACATCCAGAGAGCGCATCTGCTCTTCCAACATTTTTTGTGGAAGAGCAGACGTGCTCTTTCGGAAGCCCTGTACTCCTTATTTTATGAAGAAAGAGGAGGCGTTTCTGAAATTTGGTCCAGTGTAGACAGGCCAAATTTCGGAAAAGCCTCTTCCGAAAAAACAATCGGAAAAAGGTGCACAAATTGTGGAGCGCAATTTGCTATCTTTTCCTGATAGATCAGTATAGTCTAGACATAGTCTCAGAGAAGCTGGTCCCAGGAGGAAATGAGAGTGTGTCCAGGCCAAATCAGAGCTGGGGGGCGGGCGGTTAGGGAAACAGCCCCACTGAGCTGGGCTCTGCCCCTGACACTCTACCCCTCTGCGCAGTGACAGTGATTCTGGATCCAGACACGGCTCATCCCAGCCTCGGGATTTCCGAGAGTCGTCGATCCGTGAGATGGGGCCTGCGGCAGGACGTGTCTGACAACCCCCAGAGATTCGACTGTGAAACTTGCGTGCTAGGCTCGGGAGGGTTCACAGCCCCACTGAGCTGGGCTCTGCCCCTGACACTCTACCCCTCTGCGCAGTGACAGTGATTCTGGATCCAGACACGGCTCATCCCAGCCTCGGGATTTCCGAGAGTCGTCGATCCGTGAGATGGGGCCTGCGGCAGGACGTGTCTGACAACCCCCAGAGATTCGACTGTGAAACTTGCGTGCTAGGCTCGGGAGGGTTCACGTCGGGGAGACACTACTGGGAGGTGGAGGTCGGGGGTGGGAGGGCTTGGGCTATAGGGGGGGCCAGGGAGGCTGTCCGGAGGGAAG